TTGGGCAGGTCATTCCACCAGGAGGAAACAGTTAATGAAAAAAGAAAAAGTCTGTGAAAGTGATTTTGTGCCTCTTTGAGATGGCACAATAATATGCTCACTTGCAGAATGCAAGCTTCTAGAGGGCACATAACTCTGAAGTAATGAATTTAGGTAAGCTAGTGCAGAGCCAGTGGTGGTTTTGTAGGCAAACATTAATGCCTTGAATTTTATTGCAGTGCAAATTGATTAACAGAGGTGTTACATGCGTTCTTTTCTGCTCATTAAAGATTAATCTTGCAGCTGCATTTCAGATTAATTGTAGAGGTTTGATAGAAGTGGCTGGAAGACCTGCCAAGAGATCGTTGCAATAGTCCAGCCTGGATAGACTAAGAGCTTGAACAATGAGTTGTGTTGCATGTTCTGAAAGAAAGGGCCTGATCTTCCTAATGTTGTATAAAGCAAATCTGCAGGACCGGGCAGTTTTAGCAATGTAGTCTGAGAAATTCAGCTTATCATCAGGTTTCTGACTGTTTTTGAAGGAGTTATGGTTGATGAGCCTAACTGGATGGTGACATTTTGATAAAGTGATGGGTTTGTTGAAACCACAAGCAGTTCTGTCTTAGCCAGGTTGAGTTGAAGGTGATGGTCCATCATCCAGCAAGAAATGTCTGTTAGACAAGCTGAGATGCAAGCAGCTATCGTCAGATCATCAGGATGGGATGAGAGGTAGAGCTGAGTGGAGTGTCATCAGCATAGCAGTGATATGAAAAGCCATGTTTCTGAATGACAGAACCTAGTGATTCCATGAGAATCTGGTGGTTCACCATATCAAAAGCAGCGGACAGATCCAGCAAGATAAGTATAGAAGATTTGGAAGCCGCTCTTGCCAGTCTTAGGGCTTCAACAACTGAGAGCAAGGGAGCAAGGCACGAATGTCCACTTCTGAAGCCAGATTGGTTGCTGTCCAGGAGGTTGCTCTGTGTGAGAAAGGCAGAAACTCAGAAACTTACAACACGTTCAAGATGTGAACAAAACACATTCAAGGCACATGAAAAAAGAACATAGAAATACCAGGCTCCCATTACTTCTCTTTCTTTGCACTGAGCAATTCATTTACTTACACAAGCCTATTTACATTATTTGCTGGACAGGGCAGCTCACTTCTTCTGAGCATGCAAAATGTGCATTTATTATTTATTATGACATTTGTTTGCCTCTCTGTGCCCACATACTGTAATTTGATGCAGCCAAATTCTCAATAAAACTTTTCATTTATATATTTGACTGTTTCTGTTGTCAGACAACGCGCGTTAATCTTTTGTGCCATTAAAATACCAATTTTATGAAATAAATTTTAACAAGAATACATTATCTAAAAAAACAAAAAAAAACTTTGGTTTTATTTTTCAGCTTGTTGATGCTTATACAAACTCAAAGACTCATCTCCTGAGCCACTGCACAAAGGAACAAAATGTAAACAACACAATAAATCAGTGCAAATAGTTTTAATAAAGCTCAAATAGTCTTCAGTTTACACATCTGTTAGGCTACATTTACACTAGTGCGTGTTCGTTTTAAAACACATAGCTCAGACAGAATCATGATTTCTATTTATTTTCCACTGATTTACTGATGAGCATTAGCAGCTTCCAGTGCTGTCTGCTTGTGCTCTCTCTTCCATGATCGCTGCTCTGAGGTAATAACATATCTAATTTCAGCAACATTACATGGCCAAAACACACATTAGACGGCAATCGGAAGTTATTACAAACACTCGATGGTGGTTTAAAGTGAGTTTTGAGTAAAAGCGGAATATAAATCTTATTTATTGTCTTGAATGAATGGTCACATAACACGCACTTTCGGTCGTGTAGTATGAACGGACATCTGCATATGATGGGAACTCCACGCAGCTCCCGCGCTACTCTCCATTGGAAATGAATGACTGGTC